GCTCCTATGTAATCCACCATGGTTCAAGTCCTGGACCTGGTAGCTTGAATTCACACCAGGCATGTGTGTGTGTTTGCCCAAGATCCGGAGAGGAGAATGGAGGAGAAGGGTTTGCGGCGTGGCCATCCCCCTGGGGTTATTTCTTGCTTTCTGTCTATCTTTCTCTGTCTCTCTGGTGAGAGCACACACCCTATAGCAAAAACCTCTTAAAAAAAAAAAAGACTGTGATGACATATTTTTCCTGATTACTTCTGGTATACTTTCAAGAGCTTAAGGTAGCACTGCACACCCATCAGATGCTCTGCTTTGACGGCACTGTTTGCAAACAGAATTAAACAGCAGCTGGGCAACAGGGCAGCTTCAGTGGGGAGACTGACCCGAGTGTCCACAGGAAAGACGCAGCTGCAGCGTGGGCCTGGTCCCCTCCCACCCTTTTTCACCTAGGCCGGCTTCTCTGAATGTTCCCCTCCCCAGTACTGCACAGCTGTGGGTGCCCCATTCTGGTTCTGGCTCTTTCTAAGCAGAAAACCATCGTGGCCAATTTTACCATCAGGCATTTACTAAGTACCTACTGCAAGGCACTGGGCTAGCTCATCTGTTTCCGGAACTTTAAAACTTTACACGCTGCGATGCCCTTCTCCGGCTTTTAAAAGGCAGCCCTAACCGAGCTGTGCGAACGCTCCCTATGACGCTGCCACTGTTAAACCCTCACTGGAGGGTGGAGCCCAAATTGCACATGATGTTCTGGGCGGGGTCTTATCAGGCCTGTTAGTCAGCATTACTTCAAGAAGCAAACAAGTATGAAAATGCCCTCAGCAATATCATCACTTTTCCCACCAGCGGACTTCGTAGCTGTCATTGAAAAGAGAAAGGCTGGCCTGTGCGAATGGAGATAAATGTGTCTCCGGCCCACAGAGGAGGAGTGAGTAACGTGAAAGGACAGGACGGTGACAGTTTAGCTGGAGCTTTAATTTGGGCCTCAGCAAAACACATAGTAAATTAAAGAATGACTTACTCGTTCTTGTCCAGCTGTATCCCAGATTAGGAATTTATGTAGTTCATTTTGGTACTGGACAGTCTTGGTCATAAAAGATGCCCTACAAAGAGAGACCTAAATGATCAGAACATAATTATTTCAAGTACGTTTCCAGCCCCAATTGGAAACATCACTCAGACTGAAGGCGCCAACTCCCCGCTCCACGCTGCATCCCGGCTGGGTCCCTCTCTGGAGTGTTGACGGCGTGCTCTGATGCTGGCTGCCGGTTCTCCACTGAAATAAGGCGTCAGGCCATCTGCCCAACGCAGAGGAGGAGGAGTTCTTTTCTTTGGCTTTTGACTGTCTAAGCTTACTAAAAGAACCAAGAGATAGTCTGATAATCCACAGTCCAAACTATTGAGCTGTTACTTAGAAAACTTTCTCAAAACGTGTTCAGGAAACGTGTATAATAGTAAAAAAGAAAAATGTTAGGCCACTGGGTTTGTGTTCCCCAATTCCCACCACACGCCCACGTACGTAGCTCAGTAAGAACTAGTGTAAGGCTAGTGCTAATAAAATGAAGATGCCAAGCAAGGAGAGAACAGGCCAGTGGTAATGCTGCACTAAGGTGCTTTGTTCTCAGCACCCCTCACCCACCACCTATCGTTCATTAATGACACCAGTTTTTCAGATGAGGTTCAAGATTAGACTTCAGGGACCAGCAGTTAGCGTAATGGCTATGTTGCTGGACTCTCACATAGTCGACCACGGTTCACGTCCTGGACCCGGTGGCTTAAACTCACGCCGGGCGTGTGTGTGTGTGTGTGTGTGTGTGTGTGTGCGCAAGATCCCAAGAGGAGAATGGAGTTAAGGGATTGCGGCATGGCCATCCCCCCTGGGGGGTGATTTCTCGCTTTCTATCTCTGTCTTTCTGTGTCTGTCTGGCGAGCGCACACGCCCTATAGCGAAAACCTCTCAAAAAAAAAAAAAAAAGAAAAAAGATTAGACTTCAGGGCCAAACCCAGCCCTTAACGGGGGAAGGGATCATGGTTTTCAGGTCACACAGCATCACTCAATGGAGCCTCTCTACCCAGGGACTATGAAGGTATAGGTTCCCATTATTATTATTATTTTTTTGGGTTGGGGGGAGTCCCAAACTCTTTGATGGATTTCTAGTGAGATCTCTAAGTCTCTTCATCTCTGAGGCACCCTGATGGCCCAGAGCGCGACGTCTGGATGCTCTTGGAGCTCCAGGACAGTGGTTCAGGAGGCCAGCCCTGGGACTGGCCTGGCTCTCATGTGACACTCTGCCACCAACCTAGTCTAAAGGGCAGACTCAGTCTTCTCAACGCACCCCAGTGGCCTGCAGAGCCCAGACGTGACTGTCTTCTTTTCTACTGATAGTAAGCGTCCTGGGGCCAAGGCCAAACTGTACTCTCATCATCTCACCTGGGACAATGAACTCAACGGCTAGGCGTTTTAAGGTACACCAAGAGCTTGAAATATTTTTGTTGAGGTTCAAGTAATAAAGTGCTAATCTTCAAGAAAATGTAAGTTGAAATCAACAGAACCAACTTCTGAAGAATCACTGAGCTCACGTGAGTATCAGAATCCTCAGTTTTAAAATCTTCAACTCGGGGGCTAGTCTGTAGCAGGGTGGTTGAGGAGGCTGGATCTCTCATGGCTGACCATGTGGTTTGAGTCCTGGACCCACTGGCTTGAAAAACACACTGGGTGCCTGCATGCCCAAAATCTTAAAGGGAAGGAACAATGGAAAAGAAGGAATTATGGCGTGGCCATTCCTGACTGGGACGGGGGAGGGTTTCTCACTCCCCCCCACCTCGAGTGCACACACTCCCTGGCAAAATTAAAAAGGAGGAAGAAAGGAAACAAAACTTCAACTTTGATACAGTGAATTATGGTAATATTTATATAAATATTGGCTGCTCAAAGGACAAGAGAAAAAGTATACTTCAAGCACCCAAAAAGCTGAGAAAGGTAAATGTGGTACTTAAAAGGGATGTTCGGCTACAGGATTAGAACTTGGTAAAGTTCAACCTACCTGCCACCCACTTCCTTTTGGTGAAATCATAGCCATACTATCGGGTAGAAGGTAAAATGGCTGCTGCGCTGTGATCAAAGTGCTTCAAGGACTAAACCTGACTTCCAGTCCCTGACTGCACACCACACCGCCTTCCTGTCTTCCCGAAGGGTTTCTGGTGCTCAAAGCTCTCCTCAGAGTCTATGTATGTCTGTTGGCTTTTTTCATTTTTAATATAGAGAGATTTTTGCTAGAGGGAATGTGTGCTTGCTGGAGAGACAAAGAGAAACAGATAAAAAGTGAGAAATCACTCCCCTCCAGGGAGGATGGCCACACCACAATCCCTTCTCCTTAGGTCTTCTCTTGGGATTTTGGGCGCGCGCATGCACACACACACACTCAGTGTGACTTTTAAGCTGTTGGGTCCACGATTCGAACTATAGTCGACTATGTGGGAATCCAGCCACGTAACCATTATGCCATTTGCTGGTCCTGTCTGTTGGCTTCTTACCCTTCTGTTCACTTCTCCACACTGCATTTCTTCAGCCACCTTGCCTGTCTGGTGTCATCCATCCAGAAATGCCCTCACAGCCTCTTCGCCAGCTCCCTTTTCCCAGTGGTAGGAGCTGCTTTGCTGGAGGAAAATCACAGAGCTACGTGGACCCACGTGAAGATTCTACCATCCCACACCGGTTACTCCACATTCCTGTCCTTCCTTTCTAGCTCTCTGCCACTTGCTACTACCTTCATCTTCGGTGCAAGGGTACGTTTCAGCTTCTTAGGGAAAACAGATGTTCTAAGTGCCAAGATTCTCCAAAGCTCCCCATTCCACGCTCCCAACTTGAGAATTAAGGAATCTCATTCACGCTGCTATGATTTCCAACATGCAGACTCTGGTAGAGTTAGAAATGCCTTCTCCTTGACTCGGGCATCACTGCTGTCCTGCCCCCGGCCCCAGCATGTCTGCCTGGGCCGCTGCAGCCATCACACTGGTCTCCTTCCAGCCTCAACTCCTCCACTGGTCCCTGTCGCCACCTCCTCATCTCCTGCTCCTTTTCCTTGGATACTCCCCCACTGGCTCTTCCCTGGCCAGATGCTCTTCACAATCGCTTGCGGTCTAAGCTCAGGTATCAATGATCACAGAGGCCTAGGCCACCTCCCCCCAAGCCATTTCCCCACACTCCACTGCACAGTGGCTTCAGAGCTCCTGCCACATGTCTGCTTTTAAAATTAGTATGTTCCGAGTCTAATTCACCCACAAGGACAGTAGCCTCTGAGGGTACATGTTGCTCTCCCTCTGTCACAGGGGTACTTTCCGCATGCCCTCCCTCCCCGCTGTCCTAGAACACCAATGAAGCTACTATGCTGCTTGCCTGCAAGCTACCTGGCTGCTGCTTTCCCCAACCAGGCTGAGTGCTTCCTGAAATGCAGAGTGACAAGTCCAAAGCACAAGTGAAGGGCTTGGGTTAGGAAAGACCTGGGCTCTCCAACTGCAGCAGGCACGTGCCTCCTGGGCAGTGGAATGGCCCCACCTGCCTGACTGCACGGGGGTGTCCTTGCCTTCTGCACAGCTGTCGGCCAACACACAACAAGCAGAACTCTGGCCACCTGTTCCCAGGTCTGCAGATTCCT